CTGGAGAATTAATAACATTATATGGTAATGAAACTAGTACAAAAACATTACTAGATAGTTCAAATATGCCTACAATTAATGTAGAAGATAATGTTAGTTTATCAGGTTCTGGATTATCTCCATACATTAAATTCAATTGTAATAAGAGTAATCAAAATCAAAATTTATCAGATATTGATCTAACACAATCTATCATTCAAAATTCAAAAGTTGTAGTTCCTTTAAAGACGAATAATATTGTTAATGATCGACATCTTTCAACTTCCAAAAGTATTGATTGTGATATCATTAATAAACGCACTCCAAAATCATTATTAAGAAGTAGATCGAAAAATTATAGATTAAGTTTATCAACACCTAGAAGGAGGAATAGTCATATAAGAGCTCTCGATTTTAATACGCCTATAAAGACAACAAATATATCCGATAAAATAATCAATGAAAATAATAATGCACATTTTTCATCAGAATCCACAAAAATCGTTACATCTGTATGTAGAAATTCTCTTTTTAAATCTCCGCCACTTACTAATACCGCTATATCTACGCATAAAATTAAAACTCCGTTAAAACTTTGTCGGCCTTGCAAACTTCCAATAACATCAAAAAGTCCAATACCAAAACTTATGGGTGATTGGGAAAAGTATAACGGACTTGGAATAATTATAGACGATGTTTCTTCACATTCAAGTATCAATGTTTCTTCTGAAAACAAAGTTATAAAAACTCAATCTAAATCGTTGAAACTTACAAAAGATACATGGGACGCAGATTTGCGAAAAGCTTTACACATTGCCGTTGATGAAGATAATCAAAAAACGAAAATATCTACTACCGACAAGAAAACAAATCGTTCAAAAATTGCTAAATCAAATGTTGTTATCTCATCAACGAAGAAGAATAAATGCAACTTACGTACATCGAAAAATAAAAATACTGTACCAGAAGAAAATAAAAAAAATGTGCAAAATGCAAAAAATAAATGTATTGTAGAAAAATGGAATGCGACAGAATCCACAATCACGAAAAGCATAGATTGTAATGAATCTAAAACGGATAAAGATGCCTTAACCACTCATATTAATCACAATTTAACAGTAAATAATTTTTCTAATATAAAAAAAGACGATGTTAATGTACAAATTTGTACAATAAATAAAGATAAAGCGATTACTGAACAAAAGAATATCGATCATCAATTGTCTCTAGCAAAGAATAATTATTCATACGATAATGCAACAACAAATGATAATTTATTATTTGAAAAAAAAAATGTAAAAAAATATGCTCAATTAAAAACGTTACAAACTAATTTGAATAAATGTAGCCGAAGTGCTAAAAAATCACATTTAGAAAAAGATACAATTTCTATGGATACTACAGAACGTTCAGAATTTACAAGGACTTCTGTAGATATCACACAACAATTATTACAAGTACCTAATTTGATCGATCACGAAACACCGAGAAAATTAAATAATTCTTCTGGTGTTCCACCGACACCAAGATTGCTCAGTCCAAGTAGCAATACAACACCGTTTATCAAATCTAGCGAAGATACTGGTAAAATGTGTAGTTTCATAAATACACCAGAATTTCCAACAACACCTTGTATTGCATTAACTCCAAAAATTTCTGATGAAACAACTACAGACAATATAAAAAAAGAAACATTTAATTCTTGTTCTCCATATTATAAACCTACCTCCGAGCTAGATGAGCGTGAAAAATTGTCAAAATTTAGTAATAGTATACAAAAACCAATCGTAGGATCATCACAATGCACAAAACAGTGCATACCACATAACATTATCAGTTCTACAAATACATATCAAACTTGTGTATCTGCAAAATTAGAAATAACACAATTTGAAGTGATCAAAGAGAATTTGCCAAAAGAAGAAGCAATAAAAGAACTTAAAATATCAGCTAATTCACGGGATTCCACCTATTATACGAAATCTGATTCAGTTGAAGATAATGTCAATAAAGATAATATAAATAAAAATATACATGAAAAAAAGGAAAATATTGATAATGAAAAATATTTATCGAATAGCGAAAACTCGAATGATAGCAATGCATCCACATCTTCCTCTTCTTCATCATCCTCTACATCATCATCATCGTCGTCGCCATCATCATCGTCATCTTCATCATCGTCATCTTCGTCGTCATCATCTTCATCTTCATCATCACCAACATCGGTGTTTTCACCATCATCTACTTTGACTAATTTAAAAACAACAAAATCGGTGGAAAAATCTCCTAATAAGAAATGTAAAAAAATTCCAAATCAGAATTGTATTAATACAAATTACGACTCAACACGAAAAATTACAGAAACAATTAGTGAAAAAATGGCATGTTCAACTATTTCAGAAAATAATTCTTTACAGTTACAAATTAATCCAAGCGATATGTTACATACGGAAGAAACAATTATTGCTTTAAGAAAATGTGAATCTTCACCTTCAAAAGTATTTTCAATATTAAAAAATGAAAAAGATTATAAATCTAATATGAAAGAAACACCTGCCAAAAACGAGACTTTATTGAATGAAATAGATATTTCTGAAACTCCTAATAGTTCAAAGACTGGCATAGAGAATTTGACTAATTTATCTTCCAAAATTTCCGCATTAATAACTTCAGGAGATCGACAAATATTAAAATCAAATCAAAATTTATGCATAGAAAATTCTACAACCAAAAAATTAAAACAAAAACCTAATATAGTAGATATACAACATTTAAGATCTTCTTTGGTTAGTTTTAAACCAACTAAATCAATAAAACATTCTTCAATATTACAGAAAAGGCAAAAATCTCTTACTATAAATGAGAAATTAGTTGTACAATTAGAAGCCAAACGTCAACGTATGATAGCAAAATTTCGTGAAATTCCTAAAACCAATCTTAGTAAAGAAAAAACTCAACAAGGAAGAATCATTTTTAAAGGTAAAAATAATACTAGTTTCAAAAAGAAAAGCAATCAGTATAAATATATTCAGAAAAATGAAAATAAATTTAATGAAAAGAAAAAAAAGAAGAAAAAGAAAAAGAAAATGGAAGAATCACATAATATTAATAATGGTAATATTAATACTAATAACAATAATAATAATAAATATAGCAATAGTAATGATTACGATCTTGGTATCAATAATAATAATATTAATAATGGCAAAGCTAATAATGATATTATCAATGATAATAATGATAAAAACGCTAAATTAAAGCATTTTTCCACTAATAATAATTCAAAAAATGAAATCTATAATTCGGAAAATTCAAAACAAAAAGATATCGATTACAATGTACAAAATAATGAATTGATATTTGAAATTACAAACCATGTACCTACAGAAATAAAAGATGATCCAAAGAATATCAAAATAGCAGTCGAGAATAATAAGATACAGAATCAAATAAATAACAATAAAGTTATCGAGAAAGAAACTAAAGAAACTATAAAATTGGATGCAACAAAAAATCTAGAAACGAAACACATTCAAGATAGAATTAGCACGGAAGTTGAAAAATGTGAGAATAAAAAATATGATACATTGAATGAAAATAAATTCAATGATATAAAAAATGAACATAGTTCTAACGAAGAGGATACACGCGAACTAAAAGGGTATCTAAAAAACGTAAAAGATAATGATAAACAAAAAATAATTTTATTGAAGTCTAAAGTTGATCAAATAAAACGAGATTTATTTAGTGATGAAGAAGAGGTGTTAAAAAAAGAAGAAACAAACTTTTCAGCGAATCAGAAAAACAATATTCCTACTGAAGTACTTGATACTATTAAAAATACAGATATAGAAAATAACGATTCTGAAAATCCGAAAAGTTTATCATGTGTACTTCAATGTTTGCAGCTCGTTCCTACATATAAACATGATTGTAAGATAGAATCCCAATGTACGAAATACAATCGTAAAATGGATCTTAATGTAACTATTCCTAATTCGGTAGAATATCATTTTTTACATGACGAAATAACATCTTTCAAAAAAAGAAGGCGAAGATACAGTAATCATGAGTTGGAACTTCAAATTAATATTGTTTTAAATGATCAAAATTATGATGAAAATGTTAAAGTAATGACAGCTACTGATTATGAAGAAATATTTAATTTACCGCCTAAATCTAGGAAAAGATTAGGAAATCGAAAATCACCAATTAAACATGAAAATAGTTGCGAAACATCGAATAAAATTTCTATCGATACTTTAACAATGAAAAATGTGCATGCAAAACCTTTAGCAACTTCATCTCCATTGGAAAAACCATTTACATCTACAATAAAAAAAAGTACTATCAAAACTGCTACTATGAATGAAAAAAATATTGAAGTACAACATAATAATAAAAAACGATTAAAAATAGATAAAATTCGAGAAGATAATAAAGGTAATTATATCCTTTAAAAATATATTCTTTTGATATAATTAAAAATATTAGTTTAATATTAGTAATAATTTACCAAATTATTAATTTCAGGCAACATTATTGCAAAAATTCCAAAAAGAAAAGTATCAGAATTAAAAGAAAGTAAACAGGTTCATAATTTATTTCAAATTTAATTATTTGAGAATTATTAGAAATATTAATAATTATTTTCTTCCTTCTTTATTTTAGACTGAAAAACGACAATGTACGACAGATCCACAAACATTACTAAACAATTTAGATTTGGATAAGTTTTTAACTTCTGTTCATGGACCAGCATGAGCATTAATTTAGTTCTTCACATTGTACAGAACATAAAATATATATGTGAATAAACACATATATAAACACATATATAAACGTGTGCGCGCGTTATAATATAAAAATTGGGCATTCTTTTATCCTTTTCAATTGTCTAGGAAACTATTTTGTTAAACTTATTAGTATAATGTGTAGCACATTTATATAAATAAAACTTATTTCTGTGTACATGAAAAAATAAATATCAAATTTCAAATTCAGCTCTAACATATATATAGGATGAAAATACTTTTTTTATTGAAAATATCATTTTATAACACAAACAGTACATATATAACTGTAAGTTGAAAACATATGTAAAACCAATGTGTATTCTGTTTATGAATAACAAGAAAGATATATATTAAACATAATCCCAAATTATTGAAATATTTACTAAATATATAAGAAAATAAATATTCAAGATTTAGATTTTACAGCTTTGTCCACATCATCCATAACATTTAGTAATTTTTTCCATTGCGTTACATTTAAGCAAATACCTATATAAAATATAAGATTTTTTTTTATTATCATTTATGACATACAACTTTATTATAATATTATATATTATAAATAAATTTTATTAGTACCTTTTTTTCCAGGTTTTAAATTTGCTTCTTTATCATAATACATTTCTCTGATGTCAACATATAATTTTCCTTTAAAATCTCTTACACTGATTTGACGATTATTTCCTAAATCCCAGACAGTATCTTTATTAGATTCATCTTTATTAGATTCATTTTTTAACTTTTTTGATACTTTCTCTTCTTTATCCTCTATTTCTCTTTTTTGCTTTTTCTTTGGTTTCATTTCCTTATATAAAAAAAATAAAAAAATATTGTATGTATATCTTAGTTTTACAATGAATTTTAATTTCTTATAATGAAATTTTATCTTTTATTTTAAACTCATTTTAATCTTTTAAAAATAAAAAACTATATTAATCTTGTTCAAAATTTATATTTGAAATATATATGAATATATGAATATATAAGAATATTATTTTATATAAAATACCTCATCACTACTGTCATCATCCGTAGACACATATTCCTTTGATTTCGGCATTTTCTATATATATAAATGTGAAATATCTAAAATAATTTTATTAAATTCTATTAAATTTTATATGACATTAGTTATTATTTATACTTAAAGGATAATTATTCTGTAAAAAAGAAATATAATAATAATTGTTAAAATTGAACGATTATTTATTATAACCTCTTAAATATAACATATTTATATGATATTAATATCTTACTTATTATATGATGAATAAGGATCGATGTAACGATTAAGAAAAAAATATGAACTTAATAAAGATATGATTCTATTAAATTTATCAAAGAAATTTAAAATGATTTAACAATAGGAAGTATATTTTACAGGATTATGAATTGTAAGTACGTTAGTTACACATTTACTTATATATATCATGCGCACCATATTATATAGTATGTATTATTTCCGTCATGCATTGATTTCCGTTTTATTTGAAAATTCAAAATAATTATATCAAACATATACATATTTAATATTACTTACTTAATCGAATATTAGTATTTTATTTGATAAAAAATTTAAAATATTTAAAAATTAAATAAGAGTTAAAAATTTTTTTATAATATATTTTTTTTATTTATTTTTTAAAAAAGTAAAGTAGAAAAGTAATCGAAAAATTTTTATAAAAATTGTTATAAATATTAACAATTTTAACAATTAAATATGTTAAATTAATTTTACCTATCATTAAGTTATAATATATAAATTAAATATATATATATTATT